GCCCCATCTGTGGTGGTCTGATGGCTCTTTGAGGCGCGCGCGGAACGCGACGCGCCGTACGCTCGGGTCTGTTTCTGGTAGGACGGGGAGCCACCCATGCTCACCGTCCGCAGGCCCGCGCTTACGGTGGCCGGACTGGCCGGAGATCGTTCCGCGATCCCCGACGCCCGGTGTGTCCTTCGCGATGGCTGGGTTGCGAGGAGGCAGCGCTTCGCTGCCTCACGCGTCCCGCCTCCTCCTCAGCTAACATAACTGCTTCGCAAAAGGAGGAGACGGCATCCCAGTCCCCCTCGCTCCGCATCATGGCCTGTACTAGGCCCGGACGCGAGAGGTCGCCATCGCCGATCACTTCCCTGAGGGCACGGCGGTGCTCAGCCCACGCAGGGCATTCCGCTACAGTGTGTTCCACCGTGTCCTCAGGGCGAATCTATACTCCGTTAGAGCATTTTCTTTGTACTAAAAGTTGTATTATATTTTTCATAGTTTTTTACTATTTATTTACATTTTTCCGTTGAATTTTCAGTACTGAATTGATGCCGACTCTTGACCAATAGATGGCGCTGTATGTCTGGTATAAATTTTATTATATTTTTTGTACTGCCTCGTTGGCCGAGTGGTCGCAAGTGCGACTGCCGAGCAAGGGGTCTCGGGTTCGATTCCCGGGTCGGGCAATTATTTTTATTGGATTTACTTAAACAAAATGGAACAAGTATGATATGTAGGTACGTCACATTATGCTATTTCGTTAGGTATTAGTATAACAAATACTACTGTTGGTGTTTCTTCGGACGCCTTATTAATGCCTTTTACTGTTAATGTAATACACCGCATTTGAAAATACAGTATTTTTGTATGATCCAATAGCTCTGTTCTCATAAAACAATCTAGTGCATTTTTTTAAAGGTTTATCGCGGTAATCACATTTACTAAATTAATTCTCATTGTATGAATCGTATGATAGTACGGTGTACATGGCTGCATAGAACGTAAAAATACCTTTAATTTGGTACCTAACACAGTGTGCGTCAGGATTGCTCCGCCAAGTTATCAAATCAGAAAATGGTTTCAGCCAAAAATTTGTCGATATTTGTCAAAATCGAAAGAAACAAACCCCGTATTTGTCAAAGCAGAAATAAAGAAGTTATAAGCGTTTTAAGTTGGCCGCGCAATCCTGACGTCAAGGACTGCGCGGCCACGGAGATCTCAGCAACTACTTGGGATAGAGAAATAATTCCTTTTGTCAACTCAAGTCTGTATTTGTCAAGATTTGTCGAAAAATGAATCAAAGCTCTATATCAATATTATAATTAAATATTCGCCTTGAAAGTCATGGCCGCGCAGTCCTTGATTTGCTATTTTGTTTTTAGTATTTTTTTTATTAAAATTGAAGACTTCATATAGTATAGGAGTTAAAAGGAGAAAGGTCTTAATTCGTCGAAACTGACAAAAGCTTTAAAATACGACTAAAGTGTAATTAAACTGACGAAATCAATTTAAAACACAAAACTCGTGGCCGCGCAGTCCTGACGTTACTTTAAACCATGATATCTCAATAACTGTAGTAGCTAGGATTTTGCTGTAGACGTCCATATAATCCTCATATTAACCCCATTAAAATGACATATCCTTTTACCCTCAACACTGTTTGGGACGCGAGTAATCTCAAGAATTATGTTACCCCATACAATGTTCTAGTAGAGTGACCATAATTTCGATTTGTTTTTAATCTTTGTCAAACTGGCTATGACAGCACAGTTCAAGGGCATTCTGTTCTGTTAGTCAAAAACTTAAATAAAATACTAAATAAGACGAAATAAAAAACTTGTTTAATATTTGAATATTTTTATTCATTGCACAAATATAAAGATTTCAAAAATCAACAAAATCATTATTCTTCAACTTTAAATGTTTTTCATCGGCTCTTACACCTCTACTAAAACATAAGTTAAAAAATGGATATATACAGAATCGTTTGTACTCTCTTCTAATTTACTCTTGTTATCGTCGTAACAAAGCATTCCGCTATTTCTTATAATATGACACTTATAATGCCCTATTGTTCCAAGTATTGGAGGAACATATTCTACGGCAACTAATAATTTATAAATGTTTTGTTTAATTATTATACTTTTAGGTACCTCATGTAAAAACACCATTTGCGTGCCATTTAAATCGAATGTAACAATTTTTGACAAGGTATAATGAAATAGAACTACTTCATTGCATTTTCTGCATTGCTTGTTTTCCCAATCATGAATAATAATAGAATCTTCCAAGTTACTGATGGTGAAAATATTAATTATATCTAAATTTAACTGTATAAACACATGTTTTCTTCTTGATGGGGTAGAATTTATGCATGCACTATTTGAACAGTTACTTACAGAAGAAGCACTAAAAATAATATCATTTAAGACGTGCTCATAAATAAATGCAGCGTTACATTCACAATCATAATGATTGTTTTTGAAATGTATCGAAGCAATTCTTATTCTTAATTTGTTTGCTTCTTCACTGTTATTATCAGAGTTACAGAGGATTTGTAAAAACGCTGTTATATCCCTATTTCTGCAATTATTGTCAAATAAATCGCGTATGCATGAATACTCTTTAAATCCGTGGGCCAATAAAAAAAATACGGAATCAAATGCACAAGTGTTTGTTAATTTAATATTTTTTTCAGATATATCTTGTACAGTAAAATTACTATTTTTTAAAAACATTATATTTACAGGTTTATTTGCAGAATCATCTTTAGGAACACCTTCGCCTCTCCAGTTTTCAACATACGTAGGAATTACTGAGAATACCGAATCATTTAAAAACGTTTTGGTTACACTAGGTTTTTCTTTTTTGCAGCATTTGTTTTCAAATGGTAACATTTTTCGCTTCCTAGTCTTACCTCGTTTTCTTTTAATGTTTGTCTCCTTTTTGTCTACAATGTCGGCGAAATTATTTAAACAATTTAAAGCAATTTTTATTTCACCTAATAAATAATCATAATGCATATTTAAATATTCATCAATGTTATATTTCTTCGACCTTGTTGTGAATAACAAATTTTTCATAGTTTTAAAATAGCTCTCTATAGCTGAAGATGTTGGTACTTTGTTTTGTGATTTATATAATGGGCACATACACTACCGCTCAAAAGTATTTGGCCACCCTGTAAAATACATTTTGTGAAAGATTTAAGAAATGAAACTGCTTTATAATATTTTAAACTATTTATTAACACTATTTTAAATATTAAACATAACACGTTTCCTAAATTTTAGACTCATCTATATGTCCACCTTTGTTTTTAATTACGGCTTCGCAAAGCTTCGGCATCCTTGCAATTAATTTCTCCAGTGTCGTCTTAGTTATCTTCTGCCATTCTTCTTGTAACTTTCTCCATAAGTCTTCCTGAGATGTAGGACAACATTTTCGCACTTGTCTATCTAACTGATCCCACAATAATTCGATAGGGTTGAGGTCTGGGGACTGCGGAGGCCATGTCATGAGTTTCAACACATTTTGTTGTTCTTTTCCTTTTAAAAAGTCCTTGCAGAGTTTCGACGTGTGTTTAGGATCATTATCCTGCTGAAATACAAATCCCGAACCAATTAAACGGGTTCCTGACGGTACTCCACTATTCTCTAATATGCTTTTGTACCCTTCTTTCTTTAAGATTCCCTGTATCCGTACAAGATCTCCAACGGCGGAGCCACCAAAACAGCCCCAAACCATCACAGACCCTCCGCCGTGTTTAACAGAAGCCACAGTACAAGCGTCGATCACCCTTTCATTAGACTGCCGGCGTACGAAAACTCTTCGCTTAGATCCAAAAATTTCAAATTTCGATTCATCCGTCCAGAGAACCTTTTCCCAATCTTCTGTTGTCCAATTCTTGTGTTCCTTAGCCCAATGTAGTCTCTTCTTTTTATTAATAGCTTTAAGAAGTGGTTTTGAGACCGCTACGCATCCTTTAAGTCCTGCGTCAAGGAGTCGTCTTTTGATTGTAGAGACACTCACTGGTTTATCACGCCCTATGTTGAATTGTGCTGCTATTTCTGGTGCGGTTAATCGTCTATTCCGTTTGCTTTTGACAACAATATTCAAATCTTCACTCGAAGTGGTGGCTCTTGGTCTACCTGGACGAAGACTGTTGCAAATTGTTCCTTCAGACGCAAATTTCTTGACAATGTAGTCCACAGTTTGCCTTGGTATCTTCTGCAATCTTGATATCTCACGATTACTTTTACCGGATTTATGAAGACCGATTATAATGCCTCTGGTCTCTTGAGAATGTTCCTTCGTTTTACCCATTTTCACCAAAAAAACAAAACTTAACGCGCGAATGACAAAAAAATGTTACTAGACTTTAATTGTTGAGTTGGAGAGCCTGATTTCTGGTCCAATGATATCAAATAACTAAGGTTATTCAACCTCTAATAATTATTCCACGTTACCGACTTATTTATTTCTTAAAAATGTAATTAACAAGACAGTGCAACTTAAAATAAATTTTGAAGAAAATTCCAGCAATAACACTATTTTGATATTACGACCAGGAATTAGCCAATAATAATAAGCTGTTTACCTTATTTGAATGTAGATAAGTACTTTACGATGAAATACAAACATTGGAACATAATAAAATTGTTTTTAATGA